TCTCGTGCGCTTGTTGAAGGGACAGACAGACTGAACCTTGCGCACACTGCCAAGCCAATTTTCCATCCGAGCCATAAGTCATCTACCACATAAACATAAAGCAGTAGAGCAATATCCACTTACGAACACCGTGCACCTTTCTCAAATAAGGGATGTGTGTCGAGCAGACGCTCGCGGAAGTCAGCAGTTGTTTGATCCCATTGAATCTCCTTCAACATCGACGGAACATCCCTGTTCATATTACCACCTCCAACCTCGGTTCAAGCCATTGCCCATCGTGAAATGGCGCAAAAAAGCTGCTCCTCAGAACTCACGGCCACATGATTATTTTGGAGCAAATGCAGAACAGCGTCCGCCGGCAGGCGAACAAACAAGTCGCTGTAAACAAAATACTTAAAGTGGGCTGCCATTCGTCGGAGGCAGACATCTCTCAGCATTCGGCTATCAAGGGACGTGGCAAAGTCCCAGGTGAGTTCCACATTTTCTGTGCTGACACTAGCAATGATAAGGTGTAACATAAATAAACACAATGTACCTTTTGGCCAAAACTTTCACTGCCCAATCCATTAATGCAGGAAGCTGCACCATTCTGGCTAACCCAGCAAGGCCTAATACATTTTCTCTTGTAATTTCCACCTGACCAGTATAGGCGTACTGGAAGAGGGCACGTGCAAGCCTAGAAAAGGAATAAATAGTAAACAAGATAAAATAGGGTGAGTCCTGCATGCAACTTTCGCAACGAAATTTTACTTGGTACTTTGGCATATATTTGGTCATGTTATGTTGTTCCTCTGAGTAGATTTACGCCTTTGAAAGCTTTTGAGTTACTTTGGTTTATTCAGGGTAATGTGCATTAATTTTGGCGAAATTGAGAGTCCTCTCATATAAAAGGAAATTACGGCAATAAATATGACAGAAGGAAAGTATTGCTCAATATGTATTGTGCTATGGAAGACGTCCAAAATAAGTATAAAGGGCTAAAACATATCCCTCCTGGCCCCGGAAAATTTGTCCGAAATTGTTTAGATGTAAGTGAGGCTACGTTCCGAAAGAAAGATCGATTTATGTCTTAAAAATATGTTTAGTTAACCTGTGAAATTTTTTGCTCAAAATGCAAAAACAAAAACGTTTTGGTCGCATTTTGTTTTAATCGCATCGCCTACATTGCGAATGAGCAAAGTGTCCATATAGGTAACCGTGAAGCTTACGTAAAACAGGCCTTATTAAGTGAATGTAAGTCATGTAGAAATTTTTTTGTGTAAACTAAACGTTCTGCTAATGCGTTATTTTGAAACGAAGCAGACAGAAAAATATTATTTCAAAAAAGGGCCATATATAGCCACCTTTTGCATTCGCAAGCTCATAACAGACCCTGGGAGTAATTCAATATGGCGGAAGTAAAATTAGAAAGAGTAAAGTAAGTTCTTTCGTTTCGACTCAAACTGAATCGTTTATCTTTAGGTAAAATAAGGAGTTTGTATTAAGTCTTCAATGTCATTTTGACATTTTCTGATATTCGTCAGCGGAATATCCAATTGAAGCACTTTTGGAGAGGTAACTTATTGTATAAAGTGTTGTAATTTATCTTAGGAATAACAATATCAGAGTTATATTGCGAACGTCCTTTATGATCGACAATGTGGTTTGCCGTTTGGAGGCATTTCCAAATATGATACACATGGCCATCTTCATAAGAAATAATATCAAAAAATCATGTTCTCGGTAAATGCGCTCATTTTAAAGGATTTGATGTAAACGTCGAAAGGAATTTCAGTTGGTGGATGAGCACATGCAGCCACTGAAAACGCTGTAAATCATGCCGGAATTAAAAGGACGATATTAACTAAATAGTCATCCATTAATTGTAATATATATAAAAACGTTTTGCCTAAAGAACAGTTCTTTGTATCAGAAAGGTTTTCTGTCTGCTCATGAAGCAGACTCATGTCTCTGATGACGAATCCGCGACGGATATCGAAACGTCAGGCGAA